TTTGAGTGAATAAGTCCTTCCGCAAACAAACAAGCTGCAAGAAAAGGGGGCGTTTTGAGGTTTGAAATTCACCACTCACAACCATAAACACAACAAATGTGGTGACGTAATGGAGGTGCAACCAATAACGTTAGTTTATTGCTTCAAGCGCGAGAAAAATACTTTAAAATTACAGCATTCCCGAAGCAAAGAGAACAGTTCGAGGTTTGGAAACAGTTTTCTTCTATTCACCTTATTTTGCACGACAACAAGGGTGACGCCGCATGCGTTCGTTTTGTCATTACTCCCGTCTGAGAAAGACTTCAACTTCCGGCTCATGAGAGGGATGAGATTCTGCGCTAGTTGAAACGAACGGTAGAATATGTCAAGTATTAAATGTTCAGTTAGGTGCTGCCATAACAGTTGGATTAAGAGGAGAGAACAATTGGACCAACGGTGTAACGAACATAATGTGAGGCGGTCAGATTGTTGTTGTGGTGCACTTTACGATTTAGCTACACCCACCACTGACGAGGAGCACCGGAGGCAATGGCGGAAGGCACTACATTTGGATTTTGGAAGCATAGGCTTGAAAGTGCCCAACTGAGGCTAAACACGGAAACGATTCTGATGAGAAAACGCAAAAGTGGCGTTGCGTCATCTTTTTTTTTTATTCTGCGTTTAGACGAGCGTTTTGTGTGAGAAATCCGCGTGCAAATGGAGACGCAAAAGTGTGTGAAATTCAATGTAGTATGCACTTCAGGCGGCTAGGAGTGCATACTACAACACCAAGTCCACGCGCCTGCGTACAACTTTCACCGTCAAGCAAACTTTTGCGTTTTTACCGTTTACACGGATAAGATTTAAGATTTCCACTCTGGAGGGTGGTTTCACTTTTTTTGCTTTTTTGAGCCTCAAAAACGCCATCGCCGTGTAAACGAAGGCACATCCGATAAAATATTTTTACGTTTTCACCCGCGTTCTCGTGTTAACAGGGCCTAAGGACGGGAATCCGATTGAGGAACACCCCAGAAATGGCTCGGCTACGATGTTCCGATAAAGAAGTCACGGTTTTTTTAAAACGGTGTAAAAAGTAAAAATTATCATAAAATATTCATCTTTGACTTGTCAAAGTACACCTTTCCTCATAGTAACTGAAAATTTCAGTTATTCTTTTTCAGCTGGCTGACCGTACAAATATTCATATGGTAGTAAGCATTTCTTAAGGGAAATCTGCATAACCGGTAAGTAGCAAATCTCGATGGGTAGCATGAATTGTCAGAACACCGTTTTAAGATCGTCGTTGTGTTCCTTCAAGGGATGAAGTTGTGTGCGTCCAGAGAGAAAGTGAGTTTGTAAATTTCCAGCCTGGTCTCATTGTTAATACGTAGGTATTTTACGTTTTTTGCAAAGATAGAAAACGTACTTTTCAGTACGTTTGGATAGGTGCTGAAACGTATAATATAGACGTATCTGCAACATTTAAACGTAACATTATTACGTTTTTACAGCTACAAAACGTAAACTATTTACGTATATTCTATATCATAAAGATATCTGTATAATTTCCCTTTTTATCATTTTATACATAAATGTAAGATCCCGTAACCCTAATCCCAAACCTAAACATACCCATTTTATACTTAATATAAAAAAGGATAAAACGTAACGGACAGGTGTTGGGAAAGGGTAGTTTTATTAACAATATAACATTAAAATATATTTTGAGCCACCAATCCTACCCCTAAACCTAACGTTACCCATAACAATTCCTTAAAACTACGTAACAAACTACAATTATTAAGAAAAACATAACTAACAGACAAGTATAATCACAATAATTTATTTATTGCAAAAATGTCGAAAACCGATACCAAAAGCCGTTCACATGATGAAGCGTTGCAGTCGCAGTCTTCTCTCTGTCTCTGGCAGTATTGTAATAGTTTTGTATAAAGTACAGAGCAGAAATTAAATAATGAAAATGTTAATCCGGCTTCGGTTCGCGCTTCTCCATTTCAAAATTCAAATGAACTAAACTAACCAACCGGCACAGTCCTTCATGTCGCAAACTGTGACGAAGCAGGGAAGAGCCAATGAACGTTTGATATCACTGCCGTAAAACATGACGTATCGCTTCTCAAGGGCGCAATTTTTGAATTTGAATTCATCAGCGCGGGGTTTGACATGTACGGTCGCTGCTGAGAATGGAGAGATCACGATTGGATAAGAGGCTGAATTAGGAGTTGTTTCTTACAAACAACTATGGATTCTAAAGATTTGGATTACATCAAACTAATCAAATTGATGTCTTTTGTGATTTTTTTGTTGTGCTTTATAGGAGAAAACGCTTTATGTGTCTCAAGGTAAATAAACTATTACAAAATGGTTGAACGAGTAGCTAACGTTAAAGACTGTATTTTTAAGGTTTTATAGTGTATTGTTTAACAACATGCAGGCGAAACGAGCAAAATGTTCATATTTATGAGTATTATATCAATAAATGCGACTGAAAACTTCATTAATAAGACAGTGGAATGCAACAGAGTCAAAACATAATGCTGCTACGATATTAATATGCATAAATTGTGATACGTACAATGTGTACGTCGGTGGATTTGTTCATACGTAAATAAATTACGTTTTTGTGCTGTCAATACGTAAATATTTTACGTTTTAGTACTGTAAATACGTCAGTATTATACGTTTCTGCGCATATAAAACGTAATTATATATACGTATGATAGAACGACACTTTACGTATAAATACATACGTATTCTCATGAGATCACGTTGAAATTTCACTATGTTACTCGAGTTAAGTTGATTGTTGTTTACTGTATAGAGAAGTTAAGAGAGTGACGACACAAATGGATGCTAATGTGAAGTAACGTAGACTCACTGTATTCCGGACACTTTGCACAGTAAAACGTCCTTCAAGATATCAACCTGCTGAAAGATAAACCTGATTGCTCGTCTGTCTCTGGGGACACGCCTTCCACACGTTTCAAAGTTTGTTTGACACATTTTGAGCTAATCATTTTAGAGAAATCTTGAAAAAACTGCCGGGAGACGCAGTGTCGAATTACCATGAGGAGTCACGGTGTTCCGGACAGCTGAAAATTTCTACTCGCTGTGTTTCGGACAGTCATTTCTAATATAAAACGCATACATTTTAACAACTATAAGTTGGTAAAGTAATCATATTAATCTTCATAACTTTGTTGTATAAGCGTCTATACACTCTTTTAATCGACAATTGCTCATTTGAGCATTATATTCTAAAGTTATATTTAAGAATTTTAAATATTATTATTTTTTTGAATCCCTTAAAGTACAAATATTTGCAAATTGTAACTCATAATTATTTTATAAGACAATAAGAATGTTGTTTTTTTCCCGTAATTTTCTGGTGGGTGATCGAGTTTTAAGAGCCGATTTCTATTGAGGTATATTATCCCCTCGTCCATTTGTCCTGCCGGAAAACCTTCCCCTCGTCATTTTCTGAACAGTCAATGGTGTACGTTAGAAACTCGCTTTGATTTCTATGAAACGACTGGCTCTGGAAGCATAAGGTTGGTCGGAATAGAAAGAGGAGGAGGCAACGATGACACGGTATGTATATATGCCGTGACCTGAAAGTGTTTATTTATAAAATTTGCAAAAAAAGGTCTGGAATACCGTGATGTCCGGAATACAGTGAGTCTACGTTATAGCAGTATTTGAGTTATCATCCAGTACGGTGTAATTGTGACACCCTGTATTGTCACAGGAATAATTACATTTTTCTGTATGTATTTTATTTTATTTTATTGTGTTTATGGTATTGTTTCAATTACTGTTAGTATGTTGAATTGGTGAGGAGTGATACTCACGGTGGACAGTAGGTGGAGACAGTGTGCTGATCGGGGACTATGTGAGTAACTGAGTCGCGGAGAAGAAGCCGCCATTACAGAGCGACTCAGACTGCATTCAACAGCACATCTTTGTCTGTCTCCTTGTTTTATTAAACAGGTGGGTGAAATCAGTCACCATAGACATAAAAACATGATGCAATATGTTGAGACCGTGTATTCATTGTTTTGAGAGGGTTATATATTTCCTGAGTAAAGTTGAGATGTTAAATAGAGACCGGGTTGTGTTTATGAAAATTAAGTTTCACTCGCGGCCGTCCCGCGTGAGGCCTGGTATTATTAATGTTGTATAATCGAAATGGTTAAAGGCTCCAGCACACTGAAAACCCAAAATAGTATATGTATATGTAGATACATACATTTGTAATATAAATTTTTGAATGTTATCTATCTTTGCATACTATATTATAGTGGTTATTGACTGTTGATATTTGAATGTTTAATGATCTTTCAATGAAGTATATCTGCTGCACTGTAATTCAGTTTAAATGGTTCGCTCAACTATTTAATGAGACAGTATTTAGTATGATACTTTTGCTCAGACAACAGAGACTGTAAAACATGGAGATGTATGTTTTAAGGAAAAGGGTATTGAGTTATTAGAGAAAAGTACTATCTGAGTATGAAAAGTAAGACACTATAAGAGTGATGCAACCTGTTTTATTGGGTTATTGTTTGAGTGAGTCACATGTAAGGTGACAAGACATTGTGACATATATATTGGTTTAAAATATGGATATAATCTTTGAATTATTGTAATAAAGCCATTACAGAGCGACTCAGACTGCATTCAACAGCACATCTTTGTCTGTCTCCTTGTTTTATTAAACAGCAATAATTAACTGCAGCAACGCCAGTCGGACGGCGGGCGTGTTACAGATTTTTGGGGGCTCGTCCGGGATCTAGCGCCACCTGCTGGTATGCGGATCCAATTCAAATGAACCACAGAAGGGCTGAGTGACGGGTGATCAGCGCGAGGACCACAAAGGGCAGCTCAACGGCGGCAGGAGAACCAAAGCACGGCGGTGAAAGGCTTTCCTGGCTGAGGAGGAGTAGTGCAGTGTGGTACAAGTCAAGTGTGAACCCATCAGCAGCTGGATTGTCGACAAGATGACTTCGAGCGAGAGAAAAGCAACAGTTTGGGAAATCAAGAAAAGACTGCATCAACTCACCCATGATGAACTGATCAGCCTGATGGATTGTCTGGAGCCAACTGCAGCACCAGGAAAGCACAGGTTGGATATAACTGATGAGGAGTGTTGCTTTGAGTATATTGTTGAGTACATGATCAGTGATAGTCTGCTGGAATTAGAAGATGGAGGGTTGTCTCAATTGTTACTGTTAAAAGACAATGTTGATGTGATAATCCAGAAACAGAATGTAAAAACGGTTGTGCATGACACTGTCCCACTTACACCACCACAACAACTTACACCCACCACTGACACGCAGGCACAGCCGATAGAGTATAACCGATTGGTAGACTGTTATGAAGAGCTAGGGCGAAAATTAGCACAGTACAAGGTCGAGGCTAATCCAAGTAAACCAGAATCTCCCAAAAGTAGCGGCAGCTTACCTGTGAATGTAGCTGGTGAGCCCACCAGTGGAAAAAGGGAAAGTATGATCTCCCTCCGTGACCTTCAGCTACTGCCATTTCAGCACAGAGAGTTCAAAGTTCAAGGGGGGCAGATTGGTGACAGTACTTCTGATATAAGCTACACAAGTGTAACCAAGCAAATAGATGAGGGACTTGCAGCTAACCACAGTGAAAATGACATCATCAGAGGGGTCTTGAGAGTCATTAAGCCAGGAAACTTTAAGGACATGTTAGTAAACAAGGAGGGACTAACAATCCTAGAGTTAAAGAGTTTCCTTCAGTCGCATCTGAACGAGAGAAGTAGCTCTGAACTCTTCCAGGAGTTAATGTGTGGTAAACAGAATGACAATGAAACTCCTCAACAATTCCTGTATAGACTGATTGGACTGAAACAGAAACTAATTTTCCTGTCCAAACAAGCTGTCACAGACCTGGAGTATGATGAACAAACAATACAAAATGTGTTTCTGAGGACGATTTATCAGGGCATGGGTGCAAAGTACAATCAATTACGCACTGAATTGAAACCTCTGCTTACGAATCGTCTGGTGACAGATGAGGCACTCCTGCGCCAAGTAACCCAGATAGCAAGTGATGAAAGTGAAAGACAACGTCGGTTGGGACAAGCTACACGGCAGAAAGTGTCGAATGCCCTCAGCGCCCAGTGGGAGTCCAGCCGAGGTAAAGACGCTGATTGTAGTAGACAAAACGACCAAACTGAGACGATTCGCCGGTTAAGTGCACAAATTGAAGCCCTTACCAAGACTGTTGAATCACTTACAAAGGCAAGAACGACAGAAGGTCCGTGCAAAGTCTTTGATTCCCAGCTGCAACGAAGGCAACGTCGACGAATGTGTCCCAGATGTAGTAGCAAGGATGTTAGCTCTTGCAGTCATTGCTTTGTGTGCGGTGAAGAAGGACATCGTGCGGTGGGCTGTCTAAGAAGGGAAAAGGGGTCGGGAAACGACCAGCGGCCACTGATGAGGGGCGAACAGTGACCGAGCGACCACAGCCCCAGCCTAAGGAAAAAGAAGCTTGGAAGGGTAGGACACCTGATTCACCAAATCAAAGACAAAGTTCCTGTGACCGAGTAGCCCAGCTCATTGGAAAGAAAGCCACCCTTAAGTGCCACATTCATGGGTTTGCAGTAACTGCTCTACTGGACACAGGAGCGCAAGTTAGTATAATCGACTGCAACTGGAAGAGTAAATACTTACCAGATCAAGCTCTACGACCTCTGTCAGAAATAGTCGATGGGGGCGACTTCAGTGTCTCAGCTGTTAATGGAGAACCATTGCCATTCGAGGGATGGGTAGAATTGACAGTGAACCTGCCCGGGAATGATGATCCAAGTTTGGCTATTCAAGTGCCTTTCCTCGTGGGGAAGATGCCATTAGAACGGCCATTGTTGGGTTTTAATGTGGTCGAGGAGATAATAAGAGGAAAAAAGAACACAGAGCAGGGTCTATGTGCTTTTGCAGAACTCCTAAAGATGGCCCTGGACATCAAAGGTGAACAAGCCAACGCGATAGTGAGCTTCATACAGAAACAACCCAATGTGAACCTCGGAGCTGTTGTCACAGTCGGCCCTAGAGATGTGGTCGTACCACCCGGTCAGGTGACCCATATTAAGTGTGAAGTTTCAGTTAGCTTGGAATGCTCTGAGCCAGTAGTACTGTTCGAGTCCAGTGAGGAGAGTACATTGTTAACCGAACTAGACGTTGGAGAAGGTCTGATGGAATTAGAGGGGACAGACCGGCGGCCCTATGTTAGGATTCCCCTGGGAAACCCTACTGCTTGTGAAGTCACTATCAGACGGCGTACACCCCTAGGAAGTATTCAGCCAATATCAAGCATTATTGAAACGAAGCAGCAAGACTTGGTCAACGGAAGTGACTTACCAGTGAGCCGTGGAGAAGAAACAGGTCCCCCAGAGCACGAGGACGTCCACAGGACAGGCAGCTTGTGGCATCCACCGGTCGATGTAAGCCATCTCGAAGAAGAACAGCAGAAATTAGTCAAAGAAATGCTTTACCAAGAATCCAACGTGTTTGCTCGCGGAGATGATGATATTGGGTGCATCCCAAGCTTACAGATGACGATTAACCTGAAGGACGATATCCCTGTTCAGCGAGCTTATGCCTCCATCCCTAAGCCCCTATACAAGGAGGTGAAGGAATACGTTCAGGACTTACTAGCTCGTGGTTGGGTGGTCAAGTCAAAGTCTCCATATGCAGCCCCGGTGGTGTGCGTTCGGAAGAAAGATGGCACGCTGAGACTGTGCATAGACTACAGATTGCTAAACCAGAAGACAGTCCCAGACCGTCACCCACTTCCTCGGATTCAGGACCTCATTGACACCCTGGGGGGCTACCGATGGTTTTCAATTCTGGATCAGGGGAAGGCCTACCATCAGGGATTCATGGCGGAGGGATATCAGCACCTTACGGCATTCACAACGCCTTGGGGGCTATATGAGTGGGTGCGCATACCCTTCGGATTGGCTAATGCACCAGCGGCATTCCAGAGGAGTATGGAGGGCATGCTGGACTCGCTGAGAGACGAATTATGTATCCCGTATCTCGACGACATCCTTTGCTATGGTAAAACGTTCAGTGATCATGTTGAGGGGCTAAGGAGAGTTCTCAGAGTACTGCGGCATCATGGAGTAAAGTTGAGGCCGGCAAAATGCGAGCTCTTCAAGAGAGAAGTCAGGTATGTGGGGAGACTAGTTTCGGAGGATGGTGTCCGCATCGACCCAAAAGATCTAGAGGCTGTCCTCTCCCTGAAAGACCAGAAGCCCACTACTGTCGGGGAGTTACGCCGATTGTTGGGGTTCCTCAGTTACTACCGCACCTTCATCCAGGACTTTTCACGAATCGCCAAGCCACTGTACGAACTCCTCCAGTCTCGGGGATCAGTAGTATCTGGGGGGCAGGATAAGTCTGGTAAAACCGAGAAAAGAGGGAACCAGTTACCTTCCCGTGCGAAAGTAGAGTGGTTGAGTGTGCACCAAGGTGTGTTGGAGAGACTCATTGGGGCTCTGACAACCCCCCCTGTACTTGCTTACCCGAACTTTGAACTTCCGTTTGTGCTCCATACAGACGCGTCCGAACAGGGGCTCGGAGCTGTGCTGTACCAGCAGCAAGAGGGCAGACTCAGAGTTATTGGCTATGGCTCCAGAACTTTGACGCCTGCAGAGAGAGGTTACAGACTCCACTCGGGAAAGCTTGAGTTCCTGGCACTCAAATGGGCAATTTGTGAGAAGTTCCGCGATTATTTGTTCTATGCACCACACTTTACGGTCTTCACAGACAACAACCCGTTGACGTATGTCCTCAGAACGGCCAAGCTCAACGCTGTTGGACATAGGTGGGTGGGAGAATTGGCGGACTTCAGATTTGACATTCGCTACAGACCAGGCAAAATGAATGCGGACGCAGACATGCTCTCTCGTTGTCCCCTCGATATCAATGAGTTTATGACCACCTGTACCGAAGTTCTCGCAGAGGAGGTGGTCCGGGCTACATGGGAAGGAAGTCGGGCGGACCAAGAGAATGAAGTTGCCTGGGTTGCGGCCCTCAATGCACGTCAAGAGGATGCAGAGTGTAAGTTTGGAGAGAATCTCACTACACTTGACCGTTCCAAGTTGAAAGCTGCTCAGAGGGAAGATCCTGTCGTTGGTAAGGTGATAGAGTTAAAGGAGAGTAGTGGAGAACTGACATCTGAAATGACGAAAACTGCTAAAGGAAGCCTGAAGAGACTGTTGTATGAGTGGAGAAAACTTGATCTTGAAGAGGACCTGCTCTATCGTAAGACCAATCACAGATCTCAACTTGTTCTTCCTGCTAAGTTTAAGCAGTTGGCCCTGAACCAGTTGCACAACGAGATGGGTCATGTAGGGACAGAACGAGTTCTAGACTTGGCAAGGAGTAGATTCTACTGGCCTTTTATGAAAAAGGAGATTGAGCACTATGTCACCCAGCAGTGCCGATGTGTGAAGCAGAAGAAACCCGTGGTGAAGATCAGAGCTCCCATGGGAAGTCTTACCTCGAGTTGTCCACTGGATTTGGTGTCCATCGATTATCTGCACCTGGAGCGGAGTCGGGGCGGATATGAATATATTCTGGTGGTGGTGGACCATTTCACCAGATTTGCCCAGGCGTATCCGACAAGAGACAAGTCTGGAAGGACGGCAGCTGAGAGGATATTTAATGACTATATCCCAAGATTTGGCTATCCTTGTCGGCTCCATCACGACCAAGGCCGTGAATTCGAGAACCATCTCTTTGCGACTTTGCAACGGTTAACGGGTGTCAGTAACTCCAGAACGACACCTTATCACCCCCAAGCAAACCCAGCGGAACGGTTCAATCGCACTTTGTTACAAATGTTGAGGACGCTGGAAGAGAAAGAAAAGGATAGATGGAAAGACCACCTCCCGAAGGTAGTGCACGCCTATAATTGTACTAAGCATGAAGCGACGGGGTTCTCTCCATTCTTTCTTCTGTATGGACGTCACCCTCGCTTGCCCGTTGACTTGTTGTTTGGTCTAAGATCGGAGGATGACCAATACTCGCCTCGAGATTATGCAGAGAAGTGGGCACAACGGATGGCTGATGCATATAAAGTAGCCTCAGACAACAGCAAACAAGCGAGCGCACGGAACAAGAAATACTATGATCAGCACCTGCGGGGTGTTGTGCTGCAACCAGGAGATCGAGTTCTGGTTCGTAACCTAAGTGAACGGGGCGGGCCTGGAAAGTTAAGATCCTACTGGGAGAAAACAGTGCACGTGGTCAAAGAAAGAATAGGAGAAGGACCGGTCTATCAAGTGTGCCCGGAGTCCAGTGAAGGCCAAAATCCAGCCATGATACGTACCTTGCATCGGAACCTGCTTCACCTGGTAAATGACCTACCAGTAGACCCACCACCTCCAGGAGCAGATGAGTCATGTAGACCTAAGGGAAGGAAACCAAGGTTGTCAAAATCAGCAAGAGAGCCTGAAGAAGCAAATTCGAGTGATTCATGTTCGGATGACAGTGATGCACCGAGAGCTTACTACTGGTTACGCTCCTCTGAACAGCAGAGATCTAAGCAGGGGAGGACTGTCCCTGACACTCACGAAAGAAGAGTTTGGAGACGGAGAAATAGTGAGGATGGACCTGTGAGGCATGGAGAGATTACTCCAGGAGTAGAGGAAGAATACTTACCTGAGACAGTGGAAACTCACTCATTGACTGACTTACCTGCTGCATCAGAATTTGAGAGGATGAATCCTGAGCTGAGAGAGATAGTACCTGTGGAGAAAGAGAGACAGAGGGTTAGTCCAATGGGAAAAGTTGCAGGAGACGAATATGTGAGGAGATCAAGCAGAGAGAGAAAACCCACACGGGTCTTTACTTACCCCTCATTGGGTCAGCCCAATTATGAACTGCCTACGGAGATAGGGGCTGCTCAGTTTATGCAGACACAGCAGTTACCGTATTACTCTGGGGTACAGGGGCCAGTATGTGCGACTTGTGCTCATGTCCCACCTACATTTCCTTATCAGATAGGGTCCTATCCTACCTTATTACCCTATGCTGCCTTTTAGTGGATACTAGAGAATTAGTGCCTACAAGAAAACAGGGTTAAGATCCCCACACTGAACACATATATTACACAATCTTGAAATTGGTTACAATATTGGAAGGTTTGTGTTAATTAGTTAACTGTTTATAAGAGTTAGAGGGTCAGTGTTGTTTGGAGCCATTTCTTTTGTCGGGGAGAGTGTGACACCCTGTATTGTCACAGGAATAATTACATTTTTCTGTATGTATTTTATTTTATTTTATTGTGTTTATGGTATTGTTTCAATTACTGTTAGTATGTTGAATTGGTGAGGAGTGATACTCACGGTGGACAGTAGGTGGAGACAGTGTGCTGATCGGGGACTATGTGAGTAACTGAGTCGCGGAGAAGAAGCCGCCATTACAGAGCGACTCAGACTGCATTCAACAGCACATCTTTGTCTGTCTCCTTGTTTTATTAAACAGGTGGGTGAAATCAGTCACCATAGACATAAAAACATGATGCAATATGTTGAGACCGTGTATTCATTGTTTTGAGAGGGTTATATATTTCCTGAGTAAAGTTGAGATGTTAAATAGAGACCGGGTTGTGTTTATGAAAATTAAGTTTCACTCGCGGCCGTCCCGCGTGAGGCCTGGTATTATTAATGTTGTATAATCGAAATGGTTAAAGGCTCCAGCACACTGAAAACCCAAAATAGTATATGTATATGTAGATACATACATTTGTAATATAAATTTTTGAATGTTATCTATCTTTGCATACTATATTATAGTGGTTATTGACTGTTGATATTTGAATGTTTAATGATCTTTCAATGAAGTATATCTGCTGCACTGTAATTCAGTTTAAATGGTTCGCTCAACTATTTAATGAGACAGTATTTAGTATGATACTTTTGCTCAGACAACAGAGACTGTAAAACATGGAGATGTATGTTTTAAGGAAAAGGGTATTGAGTTATTAGAGAAAAGTACTATCTGAGTATGAAAAGTAAGACACTATAAGAGTGATGCAACCTGTTTTATTGGGTTATTGTTTGAGTGAGTCACATGTAAGGTGACAAGACATTGTGACATATATATTGGTTTAAAATATGGATATAATCTTTGAATTATTGTAATAAAGCCATTACAGAGCGACTCAGACTGCATTCAACAGCACATCTTTGTCTGTCTCCTTGTTTTATTAAACAGCAATAATTAACTGCAGCAACGCCAGTCGGACGGCGGGCGTGTTACATAATCATGTAAAGCCTAGTTCACACTACGTGATTTTAAGCCCGATTTAAGCCCGATTTGCAAATCGTTGAGTCGCCGACAAGTCAGGGTGTTATCGCGTGCAAATCGCGGGCGATTAGCGGACGATTAACGCTCGCCAATCAGTTAGTGTGAAAGAGCCAACAACGCATCAAAGACAGCTCGCAGACAGGTCACCGAGCTCAGAAAAATATCTAGCATGCTAGATATCTCGAGCAGTCGCGCGACTCAATCTCAGTGATGTCATGAGTACAGCCAATCATAGCAACGCATGGGTTGAGGACACCAGGTAAATCTTACTTTTTCTTTTTTGCATTTTTTTTTCTCAGAGCATATCGTCGAGCAAACAGTGTGCAGCACTAGTTTCTGTCTGACGTCCATATTCGCGTGTTGTGTTCTTCTCTGCAGTTTCGCGTCATTTCTGGTTCGTTTTATTGCGTGGTTTTTCGTTACAAAACATGGTTTCTAGACCAGATAGAATCGTGTTGTTGTCAACTCGTTATTTGGTTGATTATTTTCAGGATTTAGACCGTATTATAGTACTGAAACAGCTCTCATTGAGTCACAAATGATATGCTCTTATCATCCGATCGTGGTTGTATCTCTATGTAGTGCGTTAACTCGTGTAGTGAGTTACCTCCTGTTGTGGATCAATCACGTTGTGTTGTGTGGTGTGAACAGCTAAACAACTTGAACACTCATGATTTCACTGAGAGCAAGTCATGTAGTGTGAACTGCACAGTTCAGCCCGACATTTTAAAATCATGTAGTGTGAACTAGGCATAAGCTGTGTAGCTTTATGGTTTATGTTCTTCTGTATTTAAAAGAAACACTGTGTTGAAGTTTGAGGGAAGCCAGTAGTTTTAATGCTTTTTATGTTGTCATGAATGTGATAGAGATAATGAAAAACCATTGTTTGTTTGAGCATATCTTTTATTTGTTTGTTACAGACCACACACATATGCTGATTCACTTCTAAGGACATAAAGCACGAGACGATACAGAGTGTCAGTGAAATGTGCACAGAGAGCATTGTTTAACTCAACCTGATAGGATCTTCAAATAAATTTGTTGAACTGGATTCCTTCTCCAACTTTGGTGTTCTAACCGGCACACCCGTATCAGCTTCATCTTAGTAGCAACAGCTAGCACCTTACAGTCCTTAGCCTCTCAGTTACAGCATAAGACTGATTCTTAAGTGCTGACTGAAGTGGGACTCAAAGGGCGGGTTGACTGCGATTTCACTTTTTTGATTTTAAATCGTGTGTAATGTTGCTGTTGGTGCATGAACAGTATCTGCAAAGTTGAAAGCGCTGAAAGTTCAATGTAAGCAGAGATATCGTCTTTTAAAAATCAGGAAGTATAATTGCCTACAAAAACGACTCGACTGGGACTACAGCTGGGTTATGGTACGTCACTAACCCGCACATTTGCATCAACCTCTCCTTCAGAATATACAGAAAATGGCATGCGTATATTTCTGTGGCACGTCGACTCGTCGAGTGTGTTGTTCACGCAGCTGTCAGGTCTTCTGTGTTTCGGGCTTCCCATGGACGCTATACTTCCTCAACAATGGATATGTCCTCCCATAACCACAGAACCTAAACCTCTGGGTAGGAGAGGATCCCTCTTGTCCTTTGTGTTCATCATCTGCCACATTAAGGCACATTCTGACAGGATGTAAGGTGGCTCTTAGCCAAGGTCGATTTACTTGGCGGCATGACCAAGTACTGTGATGGCTTGGCGCCATGACCAAGTTCTGCGATGTTAGCATTGGAGGGCAAGCGTAGTATGACCAATAAGTTGCCGTCTGCAAAACATTACATGCAGAAGACAATATTCCTCCGCCCAGGTGAGCAACCAACAAGAAAAGGTGTTAACACCAATTCTCGCCCAGGACAACTGGAAACTGCTAGGGACTGGAAGATGTTGGCTGATTTAGATCAACGGCTTATTTTTCCACCTGAGATTGCTGAGATTGTTTTGTGGTCTGGATCAGCACGCATTGTTCAGCTGATAGAGCTAACAGTGCCATGGGAGGATGTGGTAGAAGAAGCATATGAGAGGAAGATATTGTGGTATGCTCATCTGGCCACTAAGGCAGAGCAGCGAGGATGGAGAGTCCAAGTTTTTCCAGTGGAAGTGGGTTGTCGAGGTTTTGTGGAACACTCTACAACCCGGTTCCTCGGAGACGTCGGATTTAGTGGCCAAGAGTTGCGTCGCACAGTAAAGAACTAATCTGAAGCAGCAGAAAGGAGCAGCAACTGGCTGTGGTTGAGAAGGAAATATTCTAGCTGGCTATGTACAGGCCACCATGCGACGGTTTCGTAGAATTCTTGAAAAGTCTGTTTGTATAGGTTGCACTAAAATTACAGTCATTACGTTCCTGTGTATATTGTTTGAATGACGGTGGTTGGCCAGATATTGTGGTTTGCGGTAGGTGGTATGCCATACGGAACCCTTTGCCACTGAAACTGCTTTATAACGCACCAGTGGGGCTCGACAGCCATTATCAAACGGGTTGGCGCGTATGGTTGGGTTGCGCGTGATTGTGGTTAGGTCTCTGTAGGGGTCAGTAAGCTGGGCTGAGTTGAGTGGCGGACGGAGGGTGGTGACTCTGGGACGCCAGGGTCACTGTCGAGCCCTCTTGAGGTGTCGTGGGCTAGTCGACGAAACAGGACAGACGGAAGGTGCCCACTTGAAGACCCTAGAGATGCCCCCTACTCGGCTCAATCCAGACGGTTATCGTGGTGGTCCACTAGGGAGACCACACTGTAGTTGCAGCTGTCGTGTGCACTGACATGGCAAGTACACTGCAGCCGCTAACGCCGGACAGAAGGGGAGTCACACCACCATATGGAAAGAAGCGTAAATGGATGGAGAAGCATAGGTTACTGTAAAGCTACGTCTTAGCTTACCTTGGCGAAAGCCAAGTATAAATCAGCATGAAGTTTTAACATCTACTCTCGTGTAATGGAAATCTTGTCCCGGGCTATATGGCCCTGGTAGGAGTTCGGTGAGGCCATGGAGAAAGACTATCAGTTGGCCTCGAAGAGATGGTGCCTACGGAGGCGGAAGCAGTGCCGCACCAACACTTTTTACAGTGAAGGTGGGCAACTGTTGATCCCAACTGGGGATATCGTCGGATGGTGGAAGGAATACTTTGAGGATCTTCTCAATCCCACCGACACATCTTCCATTTAGGAAGCAGAGGCCGAGGGCTCAGAGGTGGACTCTCCCATAACTGGAGAGGAGAAGTCGGCTGATAGTAAAACCTCGAATTCAGGAGGAACAGTGCGGTTTTCGTCCAGGTCATGGAACACTGGACCAGCTCTATGCCCTCTCCTGGGTGCTGGAGGGTGCATGGGAGTTTGCCCAACTAATCCACATGTGGATTTGGAGAGGGCATTCCACTGTGTCCCTCGCAAAGTCCTGTGGAGGGTGCTCTGGTAGTATGGGAACCGGTTACCCTATGTGCTGTCTGGAGCCTGCTCTTTGTCACCGGTTCTATTCATAATTTTTAAATCAGGATATCACGGACAGGATATCTAGGCACAGCCAGGGGCCGGAGGTTGTCTGGTTTGGGGACCACACGATTGTATCTCTGCTTTTTGTGGATCATGTTGTCATGTTGGCCTCATCAGACCAAGGTTTGCAGCCGAGTGTGAATCAGCACCTCCAAGTCCGAGGCCATGGTTCTGAGTTGGAAAAGGATGGTTTGCCCGCTTCAGGTTGGTGGAGGGTTCCTGCCTCAAGTGGGGCTCATGAGCCCAGTTGTGAGGAGCAGAGAGTTCACTCAGAGTGTTGCACTAATCACTCCACCCAAGTAGCAGTGCTTCGCCTTCAGAGAATATAGTTAAAAGATGGCTGTGTCTCATATGACCTTGTTATTTGTACACTCCGTGACTGTACAAATCACAACATATAAATAGGAAAATATTGGCGTTATTTTGTCACTAATTGGGAGTAGAATGCTTGCTGGAGCCATTTACTTTCAGTCATTGTGCTAAGCTAGGCTAGCAGTGGGTGTGTCAGACATAGTAACAGAAAGCAAAAAGATGAAAAAGGTATGTATGGACTTATTTAACTCTGGGGATTAACTCAAAAAGTCAGCATGTACCCAAATCAATATTACATTTATGTGTGTGACAGGTGTACTGTCCAGCATTTGGTGCTTAGGGCATTTAGTAATCTCATTGACAACTATATAATTTGATAATTATAATTACAGACTGTGTGACTTTTGAACAAGTTTTTTTATTCAACTTGCTAAATGCACAATGCTAAAAATGCCCCTAGTTGAAGAAATGCCCATATATATTTGCAGTTACTCAATATTTTTTATAATTCTTAATTGTGCTTGGGGTTTTAGCAGTTTGCTCAGGAGTTGTGGTGGCACTCTGAGAGATTTATTTGTATAACTCAAATAATTATAGAAGTGCAAAGATTAATGTAATGCTTGCTACAACCAGAGCTTATACAGACCTATAGGTTGATTCTACATAAAGCGAAACATATTGAGAACCGGAGGCAGTAGACTTGGCAGGATGTTGGGAGCAGAACGTTGCCAGCGGGCAGAGAGGAAGATGCAAATGTCTTGAAGTGGTAATAGCAAGAGGTTATTTAAGGAAATATTTCTGCTCCTTTGATCCTTGTTCTTTGGCCTATCAAAATAACTAAAGGAAAAACTAGGTCACACCTGGTGGTCTTATCCAAAACCACCTGGACTGCAAACAGCCATCCTAATTTGTTGATGCAGCATATGTTTCAGAGAGACTTGTCTTGCAGTTTCTTATGATACACTAAAGTCAGTTTCTGACTTTTATACTGTATTATTGTCTTTACATGTTTTATGGGGATCCCAAGACAAGCTTTCAAGAACACGTGCTTAATTGTGCTTGGGGTTTTAAGAGTTTGCTCTGGAGTTGTGGTGACACTTGGAGAGATTTATTTGTATAACTCAAATAAAGAAGTGC